CAATCTTCCATGAATCTCGTACATTCATAACTGCTCTGGCGTATCAAATGAAAAACAAATATATATATACAAATAGACATATCTATATATATATATATATATATATATATAGGTAAAAGACAATAGGAAAACTGTAATATTAGCCAACGTGTTTCGTCCTATGTGGACTTTTTCAAGGCAAAAACAAAATGAATTTATTAAAAACAAAGTAGCTCTTAACAAAAAAACAAAATGTCCTTAGCAACTAGAAGAATTTAGAAAATGCTATTGTATTCAAATTGCCAACTGAAAATTACGTAAAGTACTGTCATGTGTAGGAATATTGTTTTTATTGTTGTGTTGATGGATTCAACCATTTTCTTTTGATTTCTTGATACAGTTTTGTACATTTGCTTGGAAGATTAGTAATTCTGTTAGGAAAGGTGATATTGGGCAAAAGCCTGGGCATAGATTAATCTATGCCCAGTCTTTTGCTGTTAATAGTTTTGTTGTTTTATTGTCTTTTATTTTTCATATATACATATATATAGACACACAAATATATATACACGTGTGTTTGGGTGTCACTTGAGGAAATTGAACAAATCGACCATTATTCATCTGATAATTTGCCAAGCATTTCCCAGATATTCTCTGACATTCCTCCCACCTCACAAAATCACTCTTCCAGGAAATAGCTTGATTTTCTATGAAAATGATGGCTTTTATTGGAAAATCTATCTGATATTTTAAGTTTATTAAAACAACATTTCCTTATTATAAATACTCAAGAACATCTAAAGTAATTTTCTTCTCTTTTCACAATGTTAAATAAATATTACTTATTTCATTATTATGATATATTAAATGGATTAAAAAAATGAATGAATGTGGAAAAGTTCTAGTTGCAGCTAAAAAACGGCTCCATCCAAAATTCTTTTTTGGTTATTTGGTCAGAAAGCACATAGCAGAATCAGACCAGAAATAGAACAAGAACATTGCAGGTTTGTTAAAGACACGAGAACAAGGAACAATATTTATTCCCAAAATGGTATTGGGAAGAGCAATACAAATGCAGAAGGCCATGTACCTGTGTTTTACAGATAGGCATTTGATAAAGTATGCCATGAAGACCTGTTGGAACTGCTTAGCAACTTTGACATATTTGGGAAGGACATTAGAATGAGTTCAGCAGATATACAAAAATAGAAAGGGGTGTAAGACAAGGATGTGTCTTCTCACCAGACTTATTCAACCGAGAACAGTGAAGTGATTCTCAGAGAATTAGAAGTTCTACCAGGCTTCATTATTGGTAGCCACAATCTTAACAACATAAGATATGCAGATGATACAGTGTTGATAGAAAACACAGAAAGGAAACTACATGGTGCCCAATAAAAAAAGTGGTGAATTTATTATCATTGTTTCATATTCTGGGAATAATTGACCTTGAATAAATTTCTTGAATATTCATGATCTTGAATAATCATGTGACTCTTGCTTAGTTATTTAACTCTGATTGGTTCTTTTATGATTGATTAACTGCTGCTTGAACTCATGACTCATCATTTAAAGGTTATTTGCAGACAACTTTCATCTTTCGCTCTGCCCTTCTCGTCAAGTTGTTTTTGAGGATCAAGTTATCATACTTTTCAAAGAAGAACATCTGACATGGGGATTGATGAAATGTGCAGAAATTCTTTCTGAATTCTTCAGTCACATTAGTCATCACCAGTTTTAAATTATTGTCTTACATCATTCTGAATTTACTGCTTTTTTAAACTGGGCATGCTGTACAAGAACTCCTACAAAAGTTAGTGAAGGAAAGTGAGAAGAAATAATTAAATGTCAACCGCAAAAAGACAGGATAAATGCTTGCTAGCAAAAGGACAAGCCCAAAATGCAAATTGGAGATACCTAAATCAAACAAGTACAAAAATTTAAATATCTGAGAAATATTTTAACAGAAGACAGAAAGTGTGACACTGAAAATCTGAAAGTGTACCTGGATAGCCAAAGATGCATTCCAAAAGCTAAGCAGAGTATTATGAAATAGAAAAATTTCATTACAACAAAGAAAAAAGTACTGAACTGTTATATGACATCAATCTTCTTATACGGCAGTGAATGTTGGACAATCTCCTCAGGGATGAAGAAGAGACTTGAAGCAACAAAAATGTGGTTCTACAGAAGGATGTTGAGAATACCATGGACTGAGCATGTGAGCAATGAGGAAGTTTTAGAAAAAATAGAAACAAAAAGGAAACTTATAATTAATATCAGGAAGAGACAGTTGAAATTTGTAGTCTACTTGAGGAAAGAGAGCTTGGAAAATCTGATACTCACAGGACAGATTGAAGGCAAGAGTGTCAGATGAAAACAATGTATAACATATTTCATGTACTTGAGTAAATGGATGGTGGAACAAGTTTTAGGAGGAATAACAAAATGACAAAATTTATTAATCGTTACAAAGGACAGGAAATTGTGGAGAGCCATGATCACCTATGTTCTGAAGGGA